AAAGTTCGGTTAACCCAAGCAACCATTGAGGTGTTTTTTACAAGAGAAGGTATTCAAATGCAAGGGATGAATTTTTCTTTTAATCTGATAACAAGGGAAGATATTCAAATATAAGGGACGAAAATGAGTGTGATTACATACATTCATAGTAATTTTGATATAAATTAAATATACTAAAGAGTGTATATATTCAGAGTTGTGTGGTAATTTTAGAAATTTTATAGTGAGTCAACCCTTTTTGTATGTTTATTTAATATCATACCTCTTGTTTGGTATGCCGCAGTAATGTCCAAAATAAAAAGGTCTTCTACCCAAAATGGCAGGGATAAATATCTATCATTATTCATTCTTCATTATTTAGTGTGATCAATATTTAGATGTCAGAATAGAATACAATTAATACATATTTGACTTAATTATCCTCGGTATTTTTATGACTTTTATTTTTTGTTCTAGTATGTTAATCTTTTGTTTACATGGAATTTGCACATTTTTTGCTTTCAGAATCTTTTGTTTACATGGAATTTCTACCGCGTAATCTTTTGTTTTCATTTTTTATATGATATGCAAAAAAAAAATTCCATACAATTGTTGGACAGAATCAGGTCAAACCTAATGAACCAAAAAAGAAAATATGTCGAATTCAGGTCACCCATGGGTTGACCTATTAACCTGTTTATGAATTAAAAATAATTTAATAAATATAAAAATATTTTATCTAACTAAACTAAGTTATTCTTTTTTTCCAAAGGCATTAACCACTTAATCCTAAATGAATTTGTTAAACTTGTGTGAAGTTGGAATCATTATGTTTGGACAAATGATGTATTACATTATTTTCTAATTTTATAATGTCTTAATTTATTTTAGATCTGGTTTGAGATAAAAACACTTTTACGGTATTTTAATTTATTTCAGATTGGGTTTGAAATTGTTTTTCGAGATTTTTATTACTTCATTATGCAATTAGTCTTGTGTGAAATTAGTTCTGTTAAAAACTACAATGGTAAATTAGTAAATTGAAATTATGTTTTGGGTCATTCAGGTGATCCGCCAACCAAAAAATTTCGGATTCAGGTCAAATATTCTAACCCGTTGTGAGTTGATGGATCGTGTTTGGGTCAGTTGATTGTCTATCGTACATGGGTCTCAACCCGACCCGTCAACCCATATCTGACCCGATTGCCATTCACAAGATTTTATGTTAAAGCAAGAAAAAAAATTAAAAAAAGAGTCAAACTCAAACATAAACCGATCAAACCGGACAAACCTGGTAAAACTCCAACTGTTGAACAGGCTAGCCACTAGAAATTTTTTCCCTTTATATAATTGGTATTATTCAAATTTTCTAATTATATCTAAAATGAGAAAACATTTAATTGAATTAGTGGTTGAACCATGAAGGCATGAACAAAAAGCTCATCCGGTTCATTCAACCATCCGAGTTTAATAATATTGAATTCAGTAAACCTTACAAACCAAATAGATTTTGATCTTGCACATCGGTGTAAAGGAGGAGGATGCCATTTAATAAGTTGTCATGTCCAAGTCAACTAAACTAAAAACATTTGTATGACAGTACCAAACAAAATCCAAAGTTTCCAGCCCAGTGCAAGTCACTACCTTCAAAACTAGTACTAGATGATTTATTACTAATAAACATAATTCTTTTCAGAGTTGAAACTAATTATAAATTCTCATAGTGCGGTGCAATTAAAGAGATGGAGAGAGATCTAATTTACCAGGATGATGGCTTTCATATCATCACGGCCAAAAGCGAAGCCGATAGTTCTTTCCTTATTAACCTCGATCAGAATGTCCACAAAGTCTAGGCATCTTGCCTCAACGGAATGGTCACTTTCAGCCTCACCTTTCCTCTTATTTATGTGCTCTTCTATCACACCCTCAAGAAATTCATCAATCAGCTTAACAAATTTCTCCACTTTCAAGTCCAAACCATTGAAACGATTAACCCATGAAAGCCAAGGTATGTAGTCTCCTACATCAAAAACACCCATTAACTCAACAAAAACCCTCAAATTTTCCATAATTTTCCTCCCTTTTTCTTCCTCACTATACTTCCTCCCCAGGGCAACCCTACAAATTATATCATTTGTGAGAGTTACAAATATTTCAGTTAAGTTTACAGGTGAAGAAGAACACATCTGGCTGATCTTTTGGATCATGAGTGAAGTCTCTTCTTCTCTAACATGCTGATATGACTGAACCCTTTTGTTACTCAAAAGATGCAGCACACAAATGCTTTTGGCTTGTCTCCAATAGTCACCATACGGTGTAAATACTACGTCCTTACTTCCGTAGAATAGTCTGTCTTTAACGCTCGATTTAGGCCTGTTTGAAAAAACCAGATCATGGGTTTTCATGATCTGGCTAGCTGCATCAGCGGAAGAGGCTACCAGCACTGGCTTGCTTCCAAAATGAAGTAGCATGAGTGGGCCATATTTTCTTGACAATGATTGGAGGGATCTGTGCGGAAGCAAGCCAAGCTGGTGAATATTTCCAATTATTGGGAGCTTTGGTGGAGATGGTGGCAGCTTTTTTTGGGGTTTAGAAGCAGCATAGAACCATTTCAAAAGGGCTAGAGGGAATACAACTGAGCAAACTGAGAAAAATAAAAGATCAAAAGAGAACGCCATGGTGTATATGATCTTATGTTTGCCTATTAATGGGCTACTCTTCTTATATAAGATTACAGACTGCTTTTAGAATTGAAATCCCAATAATACACCTGACAACATTAGGACCAGAAATGTACATTTAATTATTTAGTACGAGGGATGATTTAAGCCCGAGCATATTATATGTGGGAGGAATGAATTAAATAATATAAATAAAAGTAGTGTAAGTGGGAGATTTTAAATTCAAAATCTTTCACCTATATTTAAAGATAAAAAAGAAACGAGCCACGCGTTACACAGGACAAAATTAATTGATTGGTCTCTGATTTATCTTTTGGAGCTATGGTATTTTTGTCTGATTTATATTATTGGTCTCTGATTTATCTCTTTGTTGGTTGTGGGCCAGCATATTTGTGGGCCAAATCACACAAAAACAAACACGTAGGTTTTCATTCTTAAAAGGAGTAAAAAAGCTTCAGCCACAAGACTGGAAAACCGAGAAAAAATATAAGGAGCAGCCACAAGGAGACTTTCCTTCTTGTGAGAAGATTTCCAGCCGCATAATTCAAGATGGAGACAAAGAGGGAGAAAGAGTGAGAGCTAGACAGAGAAAGTTCTTTGCAACTTTGAAACCTCAATTGAAATGTGATTTGAAATTCAATTGAGATGAAATTTTATTCATGCGATTCTCTCGTCGAACTCTATTCATCTTTGATAGTTATAATTTTAGGGGTGATTTTATAGTAATTTCCCTTGGTTGATATTGGTAATATTATTGTCATTCGAATATTTTCAGGTAGATCTGTGTATTTCTATTATTGTGATAGTAGAGATTTTTGACTGAACTAGATCTCGTGATTTTTTTCAATTTGAATTTTTAACGTAAAAATATTAGTGTCCTGTGCCTTTTATTTTTCCTATATTTTATTATCACTGTTGGCATTATTAGTTGGTGATTTGATTTATTCCTATTTTAACTAGTACTTGAAAAAAGAGAAATTTGTCTTGAGCCAATTCTGATATTATGTGAGTGTATCGGTACTCCTTTCCCAACGCTCTTGGACCTATGGTATTGGAATCATGGAGAAAACTCCTTCGTGAAAAAATAACCATTCACATTTTGCAAAATTTGATTCCAAGAAATAGGAAAAAGACGTTTAGCATAGCATATCCTTTTCTCCTTGGATGAAGAAAGCCGGAACATCGAATATTCCCTTTCGGCCATTGTCCACAGCCGGCAGTTGATTCTCCTTGTTGCCACGCACGTCTTATCAAATTATGTAACAAAAGTTCAACGGTTAGGTACCAAAATAGGCAACGCCGTCTAGGTTGCCACAATCAATTATAGCTATCATTTTGTGTCTTTGAAGAAAATTTGACATGCAATTTTCATATTTTCAAGTTTGAACTAATGTTTGCCAATCCTAAGACTTATAAGTCTTGGAAAGTTGAGAGGTCAAGGGTTCAACCCTTACCTTTGCTAAACTTGCCACTTAATTGTAACTGTCACCTTCGGATGGCTTTCTTCGACGGGGTTTTCCGTCGATTCTCCCTCCCCTTAGATTAAATTAGAGTAGGTTATATAACTATTATCGTTGCGACAAAAAAAAAAAGTTTGAACTAATGTTTAATAGTATAATGCACCATATGCTTGTGACTTGTGAGTTTGGATTTTCTTTCGGAATTTTGAGGAACTAATATTTGGAAATTTTATTAATTAACTTTTTCTACCAAGGCACGATATTCTTCAACTCTAGAAATATTCGAATATAAAGTATTACCTCGTTTGACAAAAAAAAAAAAAGAGTATAGAGTATTACCTCATGAAATGTATTACCATGAGCTGATTAAGCTGTAATTGGTTTATGTTCATAATACTGGCTTCTGTAGGTGAGTGTGATGGGACCATCACAGATCTAACCACGTGATTTGAAGATTATGAGTTTTATCTACAGTAAATTTGACAATTGTTACGCCTTTCAAAAACTAATGATTAGTCTAACTCATTGGATAACCAAAATATTTTGCTTTACTTGGTTTTATTTGTTATACAATAAAATTTCTGCTCCAAAACGCTATATATAGCATTTGAAGCTATGCTAAGATGGAATAGCCCCATGGCACTCTCTCTGCACTCGTAATATCATAGAGTAATCGAATCATCAAGCCATTCATAGTTTTGCATAATAGCCCTCAAGAAACAGGAAAAAAAAAGGTTTTGCTGATAAAAGTAGTTCCTTGACGCAATTATGCACTGCAACATCTTATCAAATGAAAGAAGTACAGTTTTCCAAAATCAATCATAGGGAATTTGAACTGTTATTCCTTCGAAACGAGGGATTTAATTACAATTTTCTGTTGTTACAAATTTTCAACTGTTAGATACAGAAAGCATCCTCCTCTCTGATGTTCCCAAATTGATGCAAATTCTACATCCAACTCAGAGATATCCTGCAGCTGAACTGTTGGATAGGCATAATAAGAGATAACTCAGTATACAAACCTTTTTTAATTATTGATCAGTAGCTTAAATACAGTTTGCCAACACTAGATATATGCTGTCTGGTTATTTGGAGAATAGATCAGTATAAGAATAGATCAGTATAAGGTCCACATTTATACTTGAAAAGATAGGTAAAGAAGGCCTCTAACTTGTATACCAGTTTTGCCAATGCAAGCTTGTTGACAGCCACAACAAAGGTAGTACCAGGGCAACCCCTGCGTCCAGCACCAAATGGAATTAACTCAGAGTTAAAACCTCTCTGGCTGAAATTCTGCAGGCTGATTCCAAGCAATGGATCTCGTGCAATTGCCCAAGCATTTACCATTACTGCTGCACCTGCTGGTATATCATACCCCATTATCCAAACGTGTTTAGTTGATTCTCGACGAACGAAATAATGAGATTGAAGTATGAAGTCGTAAAGTCTCCTTGAACACTGCTTTCAAGTACTCCATTTCGTCTAAATCATCTTCACTGATTTCTGATTTTCCTTCAGTTATTTGTCTTAGCTCAGTTTGCAATTTCTCCAGGATTTTGGGGTGCCTCAGAAGTTCAGTCATTGGCCACTCCATATTGCATCAGTCCTGCACCAAACACGTCCTAATCATGGGATTTGAAAAAGAAAAAGGAACTGCTGTTTTATTGAAAAAAATGACATTCAAAGTTGAAGAAAATGACATTCAAACACATCTTTTCTATTTCAAAGTTGACGTGGATTTATATGATTGTTTATCTGAAAGTTAACGTTGAATTGTATACCATAACAAAACAAAACTAATAGGGTAGCATAATAATTTGTTCTCTTTTTTTGATACTCTGTGATTGATTTTATCTCCTACCCTGCAATTAAAAAAAATCTAAGAAGTGTGTTAGATCACCTCTTTAGTTTAGATGAGCTCGTCTTCCATCTAACTCCTTATACAACCCATTTAGATTCCCCCTCTCTCCTAGAATAGGGTAGTATAAATGTAGCTAATTGACAGAAAAAAATTCTAATTACGCAAAACAAAATGTTGAACTCCAGGTACAAGTAGAATATAATTTTAGTCTTCTACAAAATACTGTTTATTACTAAAGCTCTGTATGGATTAGATATTTTTAGACCTGATTTTCATAAATTTTACTATAACAGTATATATGAAAAAATTGTTACTATAGTTTTTTATTGGAGTGTTTTTAGAATTTTAAATATTATTGTTGGGATATTTTTAAAAATAAAAATCCCCCCTACCTCCACCCCTGCCCTCCTCCTCTCTTCTCTCTCACTCTTTCTCCCTTTCCTTCCTCCCGTCTCCCTTAACTTCTTCAAAATTAGGAAATGGAAGAAAGCCAAATTTTATTTTTCTTTTTTTAAGTGCTATAATTGGCTATTTGCCTAATCTTGAAGAAGCATAGGAAGAGTAAGACCAAGATAAGGAGAAGACACAATGAAAAATCCAAAATGAACAAATTAGCAATGAAAATGCAAAGGTCCTTGATTAGCCTCTTGAGGTTATGGTTGTGTTTAAATAACAAATCCATGCGTGTGGCTTGACTCTTGAATATTTCAAACACATATTAATGTACAAAAGTAATTTTTTTTTTTTTAGGAGAAACAAAAGAGTAAGTTGTCTTTGTCAATAATAAATCTTGAAGATTACCATCGGAATTGAACCCAATTAAAGTTTTACTTACACATATATACTCCTTGTTCAAATTATGTTTGGTTCAATAATGGAATTACTTCATACACGTGAACGCAGTAGTATAAATATGTAGTCATCGATTAACAATGGATATTACTTAAAGGTTACTATATGTGATAGTGGATAATAAGAATTGATCGTGAAGGAGGTTTAATCTTGAAAGGTCAAAAGCTCAAAACTCCAAGTTGATTGACTATTTCAAATTTTCAATTGCATCTTTGCATATCCATGCAGGCCAAATCTTTTTTTTTCTGCAATTAGAGGTAGAATATCATTCGACCATTATCAATCATCATCAGCAGACAACATTCTGATAAGCATTGCTTTGTTAATTGTGCTACCACAACTGAGGACAATGCTAATTGGTGTATACAGTCAATGTTTCATGCCTCATCAATAAAACTAGTTACCCCCGGGCGGGGGGGGGGGGGAGGAGGTGGCAGCAAAAAGCAGAAATTTGTTGTGGTACGTAAGATAAGGGATAAATTAATACACCAAACATCAATATTAGATATCCACTGGATGGATCTTTACTGAATAAATCAGTATAAGGTCCATATTTATACTGGAAAGGATAGGTAAAGAGGGTGTCTAACCAGAATGTGGAATAGCTACCGCAAATAGAGGATTTTTTCTATGGATAGTGATACCAGTGGATTCAGACATGTCCAAATCCTTTGGTTCAACTCCATCAGGCAATGCAAAATCAAACTTGTGTACCAATTTTGCTAATGCAAGCTCGTTGACAGCCACAGCAAAGGTAGTACCCGGGCAACCCCTTCTTCCAGCTCCAAATGGAATTAACTCAAAGTTAAAACCTCGAAAATCGATTGTACTGTTCAAGAACCTCTCTGGCTGAAATTCTTCAGGCTGATTCCAAAGCGATGGATCTCGTGCAATCGCCCAAGCGTTCACCATTACTCGTGTCCCTGCCGGTATATCATACCCCATAAGTTTAACGTGTTGTGTTGATTCTCGAGGAACGAGTAGTGGGACTGGCGTATGAAGTCGTAAAGTCTCCTTGATCACTGCTTTTAAGTAGTCCATTTTGTCTAGATCATCCTCAGTGATTTCTGGTTTTCCTTGAGCTACTTGTCTCACCTCAGTCTGCAATTTCTCCAAGATTTTTGGGTGCCTCAAGAGTTCGGTCATTGCCCAATTCATAACTGTGTGTGTTGTATCAGTCCCAGCAGCGAACATGTCCTAATCATAGAAAGTGAAGAAGAAAAACAGATGTTGTTTAATTGAAAAAGAAAATCTCATTGAAAGTTGAGAAACTAATATGAGGAAAACATTTGTAAGAAGTTTAGCTCATCAATGGTGAACATCATTAAATACAGATAAAACAGTTTGGTTTGGCATTGTATCAATTGATGTGTTAAAGCTGAAGTATGTAATATTCCTCAGCCTGCTAATATACAAATAAGTGGTGCATACAACATACTGCATACTGAATTTTAGTTGTATACACAGTTCATCAAATAGTATAATTTTGTTCTACCTTCGAACAAGCTAAAAACCTTCATGGTTGAAATTTCTGTAGGAAAAGCTCTACTTGTTAATGCCTATGATCCTTTATCCAAATGTACTTATCCGTGGAATGAATTACTATGAAAAACCGTCCAACATGCAAACCAGTAGAGAGGAAAGTAATTCATTGAAAATTCTTTAGCAGACCCCATCTGCTTGACAATAAATTTACACTTATTTTCAAAAGTGTGTTCAACTACATATTATTGTTATTGTACCGGCTTCTAACATGTATGTGTGAGATAGAAAATAATTGGAGAACGTATTTTCAAGATTAAATTTGTGAAAACCATCGCCATCCAAACTAACCTTTATTCATTTTAAAAACTAGACACAAATTACACTTTGACTCCCCATGGTTTAGTACTTTTTATATAACTCCCCTATAATTTCGAAAACTATACATAACCCCCCTCATGATTTGGACTAAAATATCAAAGTGATGGATTTTGTAATCCATAATGGAATCAACTAAAATATAAAAAATACTCCAATGTAAAGTTAAAAATTATTTATTAACCACATGAGGGTTATGCATATATTTTGACATCTATAAGGGAGTTATATGGTAAAGCACAAAAGTATAATGGGGTTATATAATAAAATATAAAATTATATGGGATTAAAGTATCATGCATATTATGTTTCTATATTTTGATCATTTCAACCATTTTAGTTTTTAAATGAGGCTAATTTTAATATTTTCATAGGTACCGTTATGAATGATAATTTCTTTCACTTTGACACTTTTATCAAAACTATAAAAGAGTTATATATAGCTTTTAAAACTATAGGGAATTATGTGAAAAATAACTATACCAGATAGGGGCAAACTGTATTTTGTCCAAAAACTAGTTTGAATAATTGGTGCTCATTAAGAGGGGGTTCAAGTATTAGTTCTTTTTAAAAAAGTGTAGTTAATTTGAAAAAGTGTCTAAATGCAAAAATATGCAATAATTGTGATTGTGTAAATTCACATGATAAATTATTTGTAATTTAAATGTATTAAATCAATACTCACTGGACAACCATTAGAAAAATCTTTAAAATTTAATGCAAATTGAATAATAAAATGAAGGTATTCCAAGTTTAGATCAGCTATACACAAAAAGATTTTCAGGAAAAGAGAGATGGCATTAAGCCAGTACGGTAGGATAGCCTAATGAGTTTATGGTTGGAGTACCTATATACAAGATTTCTTACCAAAATGATTGCTTTGAGACTGTCAAGTTCGAGTGTAAAGCCTGTCGACTTTTCCCCCTGAATTTCAAGCAAGATATCCACCAAATCTGAGCCTTTTCCCTCTATAATATCATCAGTGTTTGCCTTTCCATTTTTCCTATCTTTGTGCTCCTTGATGACACCCTCCAGAAATTCATCAAGTTGCTTAACAACTTTTTCCACTTTAGCATCCAAATCATTAAGACGTCTCACCCATCCAAGCCATGGAACAAAATCCCCTATATCAATAGTACCTAACAACTCAGCAAATTCCTTCATGATTTGCATACTTTTGCTTCCATCTTCCCTATCACTGTACTTCCTCCCCAAGGCCACCCTACAAATCACATCATTTGTCAGTGTCATAAGAAGATCACTCAAGTTTATGGCCGATAAAGGCGGCGAAGAAGCCGAAAAACTTCTAATCTTTTCAACCATAAGTGAAGTCTCTTCCTCTCGTACAAATCGAAATGATTGAACCCGCTTATGACTTAGAAGCTGGAGCACACAAATACTTCTCACTTGCCTCCAATACTCACCGTAAGGTGAGGCTGCGATATCCTTGCTGCCATATAGAAGCCTATCACTCATGCTTGTTTTAGGCCTGTTAGCAAAGACTAAATCATGGGTTCTCATGATTTCACAAGCTGCATCAGCTGAAGAGGCAATAACCACCGGCTTGCTGCCAAAATGAACCAGCATGAGGGAACCATATTTTCTTGATAATGATTGAAGTTTGCGGTGAGGATATAGCCCGAGTTGGAAAAGATTTCCAACAACTGGAAACTTTGATGGAGAAGGTGGCAGCCTTTGTTGGGGTTTAGAAGAAGCATAGAACCATATAAAAAGGGTTAGAAGTAGCAAAGCCACGGGAAGAAGAGAGGAAAATGTAAGATCCAGAATCAACGCCATTACATGCTTCTCGAAAATTGGAGAAAGGGCCAAATCAAGAAAGCAGAAATTTGTTGTTGCTGCTACAATTGGCTATATATATGCCTACTTGATTAAGTTGAAAAGGATCACCAGAATTCTGCTTCTGTTCTGATGATCCTTGAAATTTC